ACCAAGAATATTGAACGCTGAGAGAAGTGAATTAATTTCCGAAAGCGACAAATCGTTAAATCACGCCGTCTTTGCGATTACATTTAACCCTGTCAATTGAACAAAAATACTTCGTTATTAATTTTGACTTCATTCATGTGTTTAAAGAGACACAACTCTTCAATGCTACTAGAAGAGCAATGAAGTTGTTCTTGCCAAAATTGACATTGGTATTTATATACATCGTGCGTGTAGCTTTTTATTAAAATAATTTAGAATCAGAAACTTAGAATTTTAGTTAACAATTAAAATAGCTAGTTTATATAAACAGATGAGCAATATAATATCATAAGAAACAAACGATTATATTTAACAAACTTATTATTATTAATAAAGTAATTATTAATTTGTAACAACATTATTTATAAGAATTATTCGGAAACTGTATTTAACAATTATTTTCTGAGCGAAGGAAATTCACAAGTGAGAAACTTAATAGCACAGATAATAAGTTTCTTTTAAAAATTTTATAACACTTGTTAAGTGTTTTAAGGATCTTTGTGCAACAACTTTTGATTTTCCAATTTCACACCTCCATGAATTGAGCAAGATAAGAAACGCGAGATTCTCACTTTGTTAAGTCTTCCGTCAATTGGAAAAGTTATGTCGTTCTATCGAAGTGAAATAAAATTTCTCATTGGGTTTCAAGTAGCTACCTACCGTCGCGATGGTTTAATGACGTTAACTTTCGACGACCAGATGAAATATAGGTGCAACGTGAAAGTAAAGTCTGAACAAAAGGTATACTAGAGTAGATACTTGTGAGAAGATAAATATATCTTATAATATATTGGTATTTGCAATTGCTAATTACTAAGACTGCATGCTTTTATGTTCTCAGTACGACTCAGTCTCTTTTGCCGTGTACGTTTGATTAGCGCATGCATTATCGATTGAGACTGTCAATTGGCACAGGCAATTGACACAGAGCTGATTAAATGGACCTAGAAAGAGCTGTAATCCACTTTGGCAATCCGCTGAACCGTTTGTATGGAGGCTTAATGTCAACTTAATGTGAAATTGCTATCGCTCTGTAATACTAGTGGAAAGACGTAGCGGTTTCAGAGGGTTTACACTTATTGTTAGGTCTCATGGATACATTATAAACAATTACAATATGTATTACATTTTGATTGGCAAAGTATTCGAATTAGTTTTTAGCCAAACGAAAGCGAGAGTGATAAACCAGATGTAAGTGACATAAAGCTTGTACGTAAAATTATTAATAAAGTTAATAATAAAATATAAATAAATACAGAAAACTCTTCTAAATGAAATAACGCGTTTGGATTGATGAGGACGATAAGTGAAAAATTGTTTTCCATTTATTTTATTAAAGCCTTCAATTGTAAATATGCCATTAATACTTGATTTGTCTTTGATCAGTTTAAAAATATTTTTACCTCTGTTTTAGCGTTTATTCTGTCTTTCAAATATACAAATATAACATAACAGAAAATGTGAAATTGTCACGAAATAGTAATAAAAATAAGACAATGTATTTTTTATTATTTGGAATTTTTATTATTAAAGTAATTTTTAATTACTTAATTATTTGGGCACAATTTAATTAGTAAGTAACAATATAATATACTATCATTTTTAAAAAAAATTGAAATTTAAAAAATTTATAAAACTTTATAAAAATTAATTATCTTATAAGAAATCTTAGGGTATAGCGGGATAATTTGAATTGTGAGGTAATTTGGATAATAGTAAGCATTCGCAAGAATTTCAGAAAAATATGAGATTTTAAGATACATTTCATTATATCAGACATTGACTATTATCCAAATTACCCCACTATTCAAGCTATCCCGCTGTACCCTATATCATTTAAAGCTGCCTGAAGTTTACATTGTTCTACGACAAAGTAAAAAATAAAAGAAACAGATGGTTTCAAAGCTCTTGTCTGCAAGCAAACTGGGGAACTGGGAGATTTTAATGACGCAGCATTATTCTAATTAATTAATGTTTGCGAGACGGCGTCAATCAAAGTGAGGTGTAAATATTTCCGCGCACGATAAAAGCAGTAACCGAAGATTATGTCAACAGTAGCTGCGCTGTACATAGCACTTTCTTGGCGAGCTCCATTTGACGCATTTTCTTTAGCGAAGAATAAACTGAATGAAAATCCGTAATTATTCTCCGAATTAAAGTCGGAATGTTTTATCGAAATCCTGTAATTGACAGGTTGCACAGGTTGACCGCGTAAGTGCACAAGCCGCAATCGCGCGCGGTTGCAGCTTGTGTAACATTGGACGCAGTTACTGTTTCGAATTAATATACACGAAAGTGTAGCCCCGCGCCATAATCCCGCTATATTTAGCACATAACGCATCGACGAACGTCGATTGAAATCAAAGCAGCGGACTTTAGTTTTGTAACAGTAATTCGAGCAAACTAGCAGAATTGATCTTCACATTCCATTATCTGCGTTTCATTGCCCGCTTTAATTGCTTCTAGCAGATAACAATCTTGATCAATCAATACATCTGATGCCGGTGAGATATACATTGCACGTCACGTACGAATTGCACGGTTTGTTAAATGCTACGTCCTACTTTTTATAATATGAACCTAACATTCTGATCTGCCGTCCAATCAGCAATCATAATTAATTTCTAATTGAGCTATTTAATTATGTAATTAATTTATTTTATTGCACAAAATAGAATGTACAGCTTGTGCGCATTGTAATCATTAATTTAATAATAAGCTAACTAATACGATATTATGATCAAATTATTTGAAATATCTTTAGGCTATATTTCAGCAGCATCTATACTTACACTGACGCGGACTTGTTGAAAAGCTAACATTAACAGATAAATATCATGAAATTATAATGTAGCTTACAAAGACATTTTAAAATTGTATTATATATCGTCTATATACACATTGAACTGAAAAAATTGTTTTTTATATTTTCCTGAATATTATTAGAAAAATTTTGAAGCGTTAAATTTGATGCTGTTTTATTAAATTTTTGGAATTTTGACTCTTTCAGTGCTACGTGTTGACACATCCAACCGATAGTATACTGTGAGCACTATGAGCGTGTTTACGCGTCCGCTGAATCGGGCACCACGAGCTCTATGGACGTGCTGACGCGTCAAGGCGCTCACCGATGATAGCGCCGATTTGTAACTTTATTTTTATAAGGTATAATACTCCATATAATTTGATTTTATTATATATGAAGAAATCATGACGCGCCATGTGTTGCGATGCTGAAGAGTATTCAGCGCTGAGACGCGCCACACAGGCGGCAAAGTACTCGGCGCATGATTCATTCGTCAAAAGTAGTATTTAGCATTCAAAGGGTTAAATATCAGAGTTCTCTCTTTGCTCGCGACTATAAAGTGATGCTTGACGTTCTCCAGCATGCGTTTTGATGCAGCTCCCTATTTATAACCGTATGTGCGTTAAACAGTTTCGGTGCAACGAGGCGGTCTTCCGGCGAGGCTTTCATGAAATTGATCGTAAGTCTTATTATCGATATACATTTTCATGCAGCGTAACATGCCAGGCATGTATGTGTGAGCAAGCTGAATATTTCTCGCTGAGTCCCCAGCCATACATAGAGCAGAGTTTAAATAGTGAATTATAAATACATTCGTCTATAGTAATCGTGCTTTCCGTCGAATGTAAGTTTATTAATAGCCGCATATATTCATACGTTTAGCAAATTGATCGGAATCTCTTTGTAAAAGTGAATTGTCTTGCGACGCGAAGAATTCGAAAGAAATGAATAAAAGATGCTAAAACAAATACGTCGCACGTAGTTGTCTTATTCTAAATTTGAATTTAGGCCAAAGTTTGAACTTCATTGTTTAAAGTATGCTTGCTGAATCCGTCCCTTAGGCATCTTCGAACAAAGCCGCTTTTAATTATTTAACTTTGATCTTGTCATCGCATCGAAAGTTTACTTTTATTTACTCTTTAGTCTCAGAAGTTCCGAAACTTTCAAAAATTTAAACTTTGTCGGTTGATATATCGCAAACTTACGTAATACGAGCTCAAGGGAATTTCATCTGCAATGTGAAGTAAAAAGTATAGTTACATTATGAAAGTAAGCCTCATAAAAAGTTAAAAAATGCGTTTTACCATAATGCATAATCAATCATAAAGCATATAATCATTGAATTATAAACTACTAGATACAAGTTGTTTTATTTAATAGCAAAGGCTTATCGTAGCACACGAAAATATTTTACTTAAGAGCATATCTTGTCTAAATAAGACACAATAATACATGCATTTTAGGGTATTCTGATATGATCATTATTACATTATTAAGAATTATTGAGAATTTATATAATAGTAGCATTCATTATTCCTGAGAATTTGTATGTATGTGCTAATCCGCTCTCGAGTTAATAGTTACTTAAAAAAACTTCAGAGAATTTAAAAAAAGAAGATTTATTTTCAAGATTATTTTATGAAAAATCGTACAATCTATGTATATTTAAAAGTTTGTTTTATATTATTTCATTGGAGTTGATTTACTAAAATTTAATTTATGCTCCATTTATGCCATAGAATCACATTAGAAAATATAAATAATTCGGAACGATATACAGTTCAACAGCCTTCGATTATCGACGAGATGTTATTACAATTTACAGAGGAAAATATTTTTAATCCTCTGTATTTCGAGCGTTAGTCAATTTGTTTTGGAGAATAAGTCATTCGCACGTGAAAACCGAAGTTGCGTTTGATTACACTTTATCAGGTCGTGAGTTTAATTGCCTATCGATGCATTATTAATATATCCGATTACATACAACACATTTTGAGTTGTTTTAAAAGATTAATTACTTTTTTCCATATTGGGGTAAACATGATTTTTAATGCATACTAAAAACCATTAAAATATGTACGATATCATATTACGAATATTATGATGTACATACGTACGTATATAACACACACACATACCACACAAAAGAAATATTTTCTTCGGAGAGAGAATAAATGATCAATTTTTATTAATCAACTTGATCAATAATGTGAATTTATATTCATATTGACATATGCATGCATATTAATAAGATCTATAAGGGCTGTGTAAGCCCGCTACTGGAATACGTAATAAATAATCATCGAATTATTCTATCATACATCAATCGAGATTTTCCATTTAAATTACTTCGCAAATTTCGCAATTTAAAACTTTAGAACTTTGAAATTCGTCGATGGAATAATTTCAAACGTTCCAACCATACATTGGCGCTTGAATGTAGACGGCCGAATAATCGTCTCTTAAGAATTATGTGACTTTATGGCAAACTTATATAATATTGAAGAGAAACGTCAGAGACGAATATAGAAGTGAATTAAATTTTAACTTACGTCAAATTTAGATTAAAAGACGGCATTTATTGAAAAAGAATTTTGCTTGAAGACAATAGGTTTTCTATAAGAAAAATTTTTCTATTAAATAAATTTTCCTTGCGGTTGAATATTCTCTAAAGGATTGAATTTTTCTATACTCTTTATTCTACCTTTGCTAAAGATATAAATATTTACAAACAGATCTAATAATTTTAAACATTTGAAATTGTACAGGATGACTAAAAAGTGGTCGGACGGAGTGAAATAATTCGAAAACAAGGTAGAGAAAAAAGTTTAGGTACCGCCGCTCAACTTTGTCCAGTGCATGGCCGATTTTTGAAATTGGATTTCGCACGTTAAAAGTTTCAATAAAGATATCACATGTCCCTTGATGTGACGCCTACTGCGTGGCCTACTGTCACCACGCGGCGCGGCGGTGGGCGGTGGGTCGCGCAGTAGCCGGTTAGTCATATCAAGAAACATATCTCTTTGATGAAATTTTTAACGTGCAATTTTTTTCTCAAATGTCTTGTTTGCGAGATATTGCATCGGTATGATATTTTTTAGTCATCCTGTATACCATCAGAATAATAATTGTAATTAATAAAGTTATTATAATTGTTACAGAAATATCTTGTTAATTTTTGCGCATAATGGGATTCAAAACAGCCTAATAAATCAAGGTAAGATTCTTTTTTCTATTATTTATGATATCTTAATATAATTATACTTATAATTATATTTTCTAATTCTCAACTGATCGAATTATTGCTACTATTTTATGAGCAATCTCTGCATTATCACTTCTTCTATCGTGTGTCGTAATTAATCTTAAAGCGTTAATCATTTTGTTGTTATAAAAAAATGATTAAGATTAAGAAATGCAAGTAGAAAATACTTCTTCTTAGTTCAGGATTCAGTCCTGTTCCTCGACATCTTGACTGCCCATCAATCTGTCGGATCCTTTTCTTGTGAGATGAAGGTCTAGCTTTCTTTCCGCCGTATCGGTGGTTTCTGCCATGAGATCTTTCTGTTTCAGGGATTTGTGTTTTGGTCTAGTTGGCGATTCTCTCGTTTCCTATTCTATTCACATGGTCTCTCCACTCTCTTCTCCTTGTCCTTATTCGCTTTACCACGTTTGCATTCCACAACGCTGCCTAATTGATCTGTTTGTTATTTGATCTTTAGTGTTGATGCCCAATATCGACATTCTCATTTCCATCATTCTTATCATCGATTTTGTTATCGCCGTTTCTGCTCTTGTTTTGATTGCATATAATGACGCTATCAGTCTTACACACACGGAGAGAATTTTTTTTCTAATTTACCCTACAAATCATGTTAACCTTCAAACCGCACACATCGGTCGAGCACCCACTAATAGAATGATGGTGCGAATTTGGATTTGACATCTTAAATTGTACATATTTCCTGAGGATAAAAACAGAAATGTTTTAGAAAACCNCACTTTTTTG